TGAAGCATTTAGAAATAAAGAACTCGAAACAAAACTAAACAGTACACTCTGGTTCTTAAAAATAAGATTTTTTTTTTATTATGATCATTTAAAAGATACAGGGCAAAAGGAGAGACCATGATGAACAGCAAAACCATATACCACACTTAACAATTAAGCATCTTGCTATACTGGCTTTATCTATTTATAGTCGTGAATTTTGCTGAACTACTTGAAAATAAATCAGATACTCCTCCCTATCCTTAAACACTAGGGTCATCCTACATGACTATAGTATGTAATCATTCTTACATCCAAAAGCCACACAGATCTCCCAAATCATCTATTCTTTTTCTGTTTCTAAGATCTCCAATCTCTTTTCTAAAGGAACCAGGGTAAATCAAGACTCACACACTGCATTTGACTCTTTCAAATCCCTTTTAATCCAAACCAGAGGTCAGAAAGCCTTTCCAAAGAGCAGGCAGGTTCTATTTTAAACTTGGTGCTGTTTGCAGATACTGCCGATACTCAGTTCCGTTGGAGCCACACATAGCCAGAGCTATACCGTCCAAGATAATACTTCAATGAATGAGTGCAGCTGCTTACATGTTTTACTTAGAAAACATGGCTAGAAACGGAGCCTGGTGGTACAGATATGTGATTCCAAGTATTGAGGAGGCTAAGGCAGGCTAAATTCATGGCCTGTGTGAGTGAGTTCAGTGCTAACATGGGCAATTTAGGGAGGCCCTGTATAAAAATGAAAAGGGTTCAGCACTGGAGGGTTTGGCATTCCCAGGAATGCTGCCCATCTCGGGTGTAGAAACCACCGCCTCCTTACAACTTTTTGTTAAGAATTACGGCAGTTGTTGTAGCACACACCTTTAAAACCCCAGCAGTCAGGAAGCTGCAGACAGTTTAGAGGTAAAGAGTACTTGCTGGGGGGCTGGAGAGATGGCTCAGTGGTTAAGAGCATTGCCTGCTCTTCCAAAGATCCTGAGTTCCATTCCCAGCAACCACATGGTGGCTCACAACCATCTGTAATGATATCTAGTGCCCTCTTCTGGCCTGCGGACATACACACAGACAGAAAATATATATATAAGCCATCTCTCCAGCCCCCCGGCACCAGACCTCACTGCAGATGGTTTTGAGCCACCAAGTGGTCTTAACCACTGAAGAATCTCTCCAGTCCCCACCCCCTATTCCTTTTTAAAGCAGAGTAGATTTAAGGAAAAGTGGGAAAAGAAGTCCCTAGAGCAAGAGGGGCTCCAAAACGTGAACACACATGCCCAAGTAATATCTAATGTTTGTGTTGCACTTCCAGATCTGAATGTTTGATAACATGCTGGAAAACAGACCCAAAGGTTGGATTAAAATGTGAACGTCTCTGAAGGATACAGGGTAAAAGTGTGAAAGAGACCCAAACCTTCATCTGCAGTGAGAGCGGGGCAAGGCGATCTTGGCTCCTGGCAGTAAGATCTACTATTCCCGTCCACTAGCACTGACACATGAATGTCTTGAAAAGTGTTGGCACCCATAGCCAAAGTGCTCAATTACTTGACACCTTTGGTTACTTTCAGGAGACACACTCAAAGCTTGCTACAGTTTACCTTTCAGCTTTGAACGTCGCATTTTCTGAGGATTTAGGAAATGTTTAATAAGCTTGAGCACTAGAAGCCCTTTCCTTGTACCAGCGGAAGTCAAGACCTAGGAGAATCATTTTCAAAGTTATTGATTGACGGGGCTCAGAAGGCTTGGTGGGTTGGCTAATTCCAAGAACAGAGGATTCTAGCTTCAGAATCAAGCTGAGGGAAAGCTTTGGTGGTCAGTTATCCTGAGCCTCATCAGCAGAGTAAGCAGGCTCATAAATAAGACTTAAAAGCGCAACCAGTGCTCTTACCAGCTGAGCGTCATCTCTCCAGCCCCCATCCTATGCTTTTCAATGAGATGGGGGGGGGAGTATTTCCTATTGTCTTTATGTGGAGATGTTTAATAATACATATATAAGGGAGCTGGATGATCATAGCACACATGTTTAATCCCAGGGGGGGAAATGGTTTATTTCTGACATTTGTTCTGGTGTCTTGCTGTATAGCAGACTGGCCTAAAAGTAGCTAAGATTACATTAAATATCATTTGTTAACATCACTAAAACAATGGAAAGAACCTTGTGACAACTGCCAGAAGTTAGAAGGGGATGAGGCTCAGTTGCATGTTGTGAAATACAGTAGCCAGGGAACAAGGGGCTGTAGGTACACAGGTCTTTCGCCCTTTTCTTCCTGGCGATTGACAGGGCCGTTTGACCTCTGGCTCCCTGGAGATCCTGCACTAGCACTGGCTTGAGGGTATAGTTTAGAAAGAACTTGGCTCTCTTTTGTTATGGTGATTCCACCTGTAAACAAGGTTCCAGCTGCGCCCTGTATGCCTGCCTCCCCCAGCTGATTCTGCCTGAGGCGCCAGGCGCCTGTCATCCTATTCCACTGCTCCTGATGGGAGGGGGCCGTGCCCTTTTGAACCCTCTTGCCCACTGGTATAAATACCCGACTTGAGTTTAATAAAGTGACAATTTACTCTTTGGTAAGTGAGCAGGTCTCTTTGTGTGTGTCTATTTAAACCCTTAGGACAGTCGTCCATTCTCATGGACTCGAGTCAGGAAAAGCGCGCGCCTGAATCGGGCCTGGGCATCCACAGAAAAGTGCGGAGGCTAACAAGGGGCAGATAACAGCACATTACAAAAGATGGGAGAATTTTCTGTTGGTAGTTGTATTATGGCTTCATGCTACTTGACAATGCTCTGCCTACTGAGTAATATCCTCAGCCAACAGTTGATCTAAAGGAATTTACTGGCAGGTGTGGTAGCCACACCTCAACACTCTAGGCCAGCTTGAGGGACAACAGCTGAGACTTAACGTGACATCAAAAAATTATGCAGTTCTCTCAAGCCCCCGCCCCAAGAAATTCAAACATGCCATTTAAACTTAAAATCCAAACGGCATATCACGCCTTCTGTTTAGTGTGCTAGGTAGGTATGACCACAATCCTTAGAGTTGAAAACAAGACACTTAGAATCCTAGCACTCTAGAGGTAGAGGCAGGTGGATCTCTGAGTTTCAGGACAGTCAAGAGCTGCACAGATCTGGTCTGAAAACAAAAGAAATAACAAATTGTGACAGAACCCCTTTGAACTGTGTGCCAGTTTTTTTTTTTAATGGGAGTTATTAGCTATCTCTATCATACTTTACAGAAAGTAATTCTAGCATAAAAATTGGAAGTCCGTCAGAGAGCTCTTACCGTGGACCTCATCTCACATATTGACTTACAGCATCCATAACTAGTTCCCGAGGACCCAATGGACTCCTTTGACCTCCACAGGCCTAAGGCATGGGTATACAAATGAACGTGAACCCCCACCCCCCACAAATCCCCATGTGCACACCCAGGAAGCTGTAGTTCAGAAGTCAGGTTCTGGGTTCAATTCCCAGCACAAACATGGGACCATTTCATTTCACCCTTTAAGACTAGGGACTAGAACTGGGAATGTAGTTCAGTTGGTAAAGTGCTTAACAATTATAAACAAAGCCTCGGATGGGTTCCACATCCTGACATGTGTCTGTGGATCCTGGCACTTGGGAGGAAGGGACAGGAACATCAGAAGCTCAGTTCATTCTTGGCTACACAGTGAGTCTAGGCATTAGACCTTGTCTCAGAAACCACACTTTAAATAGTGATTGATGATAACCACAACCATTCTCTTACTGAAGAAGGTAACCATGCTTTCTTCACTCAGTTTTAAAACCCTGAGAAGACAAGAAAAAACACAAGATCTTAAATTGGTCCATCCAATCACCACCTTCAAAAAAAGCTATTTTCGCTGGGCAGTGGTGGCACACGCCATTAATCCCAGCACATGGGAGGCAGAGGCAGGCAGATCTCTGTGAGTTTGAGGTCAGCCTGGTCTACAAGAGCTAGTTCCAGGATAGACTTCAAAGACACAGAGAAACCCTGTCTGGAACCCCCCCCCCAAAAAAGCTATTTCCAATTTTGAAATTTCCAATCACTTTTCAACAATAACAATCAAAATTCAATTAGTGCTAAGTCAAACATAGACAGGGCTAAAGATTCTCTACATAAAACATAAAGAGATCACAGAAATGGCTTACAATACAAAGAAAATACTTTTATTTCTGTATCAAAGACTCTAAAGTTAACAGTTGTTGACAAGACACAAAAAAGGTTTGAGAAGTTACAGATAATCATTATTGGATTTAATCTCCCTTTATTATTTTACAAAGCATCTGGTACACCCCCAACCCAATCTCAAGCATGATGTGTTCAGGTGACAACATTAGGGTTCCTTCCCATTAGTCCTCAGCTTCTTTCTTTTTTTTCTTTTTCTTCTTTTTCTCTGGACTCTAAAAAAAACAACAAAAAAGCTGTTGAAATAGTGTTAATATATTAACCTATCCTTATAAAGTGTAATATCTACTCCCAGAAAACAAATTTTGCAATAAAATCTAAACCTGCAATTCCAGGAAATCTTGGGGTGTGGGGGAGGGACACAGCACTTTGCATGCACAAAGCCTCCAGCTCAATCCTTCCTTACAGTAAATTCTTTTCATGGCAAAACAAAACAAAACAAAACAACAACAAAAAAAAAACACTAAACGAGAAAAGACCTCTATAACAAAAATACTATTATACTATTAGACAGTTTTACTTTTATATTACATTTTCCTTATTAAACACCTGGTCATTTCTGACCTGGAATACAATACAATTATTAATAAACTCAAAAGATAAAGAACAACCACAATCACATACAGGAACCGCTGTGCTGGTGCACGGCTCTTCCTCAGAAAGTGGCTCCTCCTTAATGTGTTTCTTTTTATCCTTCTTCTTCTTCTTCTTTACAGATGGCTCCTCTTCCTCCTGTTCTTCCTCCTCCACTGCTGCCTCCACCTCCTCCTCTTCCTCCTCCACTTCAGCTGGTATAGAAAGAATTAGAATTGAATTAACTTACTTACCTCAAACCCTAAAATATTTTTCTTTCTTTGATTATAGTCAACTCTTCAGTGTTTATTATTATGATTTTTATTGCCTAACACTATTAACCATAAATAATCTAGACCAAGCTCAGAAGTATTTTTTTTTCACGATCAGCTATTACTTAATAGAAGTCAGCAATAAAATAAATCTCTATGCAGCCTGATGACCTGGAAGCGTTAATTACATTAAAAAAGGTCAAGAAGTGAGAGCTTCTGAAAACAAATTTTGTAATAAAAATTTGTAATAAATTGCAGGTTTAGATTTTGTAATAAAATTCCAAGTGCCCACTGCACAAGTCTAAGGACCTGAGCCTGGCTCTGCTCCAGTCCCAATAAGAAGTCAGGCAAGCGCTGCAAGTGTGTGAACCCACAGAGGGACAAGAACCTGGAACCTGTGGGCCAATCAATCTAGACAGACAACCAACCACAGCACTAGTGAGATCCTGTAGCAAACACAAGAACTAAAGCAGAACACACTCAATGCTTACCTCTAATCCCTGAAAACACAAGCGTACACCCGCAACACACGCACAGGGACGCTAGTCTTGTGGGCCTTCAGTGAGAGGTGAGTAAACAATACACTGAAGATACAATAAACACTACGGATAAAATGAAACAGGGAGGTGCAGAAGGCGAGTTACACATGGCTATTTCAACACAAGGGGCAGAGACGAAGGAAAAGTGGCGCCAAGTCAAGATGCTAAGAACTTTGTGAATTGTGTATATGGTAGATGACCGGCAGGAGCATCAGAGAGCCAATGGTCCAATACATAATTGTTAATCAAGGAAACCACTCTGGAACATGCTTTAAAATACTAGAAATAAGACTGGTTTTGTTTTTACATTTTTCAAATCTTTCAGTAATAGAAACAAGTTAAATTAGTCTGTTATAATTTTTCTATCAATTCTCTACACTTGTTAACAATGTAACTGACAACAAAGGCATTTAGAAACTAATCATTGCATCATTTACTCTGAGCATAAAAGCAGGGACGCAGTATTAGGTGCAATATATGGGGCACTTGCTTATTACCAACTTGACTGGTATCGTTGAGACACTCTGATAATGAACAGCAGTCTAGTCTTTTAACTCAAACAATGAAGCTGCCTGCACCAATGTACTTCTCTTCTTAATCATGCAACTAAAACGCAGGGGAACCAACTTAAAAGTCACCTAACAAGTATTTCACAGTAGATAAAGTCTTTGTACATTTAGTAAAATCCCGAATTCTACTTATTTATAAAGACACCAAAATCTAATTTAACAACAGCCTAACTTATCAAAGAACAGATTGGCATATTTTAAAGCACTATCAGTTTTCATAGAATGCAATGGTAAACATTTCTCCCATACTTAGTCCATAGTTTTAAAGATCCTTATCGAAGAATCTTTAAAAATTAAAAATTTGTGGGGAAGCCTACGGACTCCAATTTCTGGATTGGAGACACTTCACAAAGTCTGAAGTGTCCTCAGACTTCTGTGTATACTGTGCCATGCAACCCCCAACCCCAACAAAATAAATAAAAATGTAATGTTCTTTGATTAAAAAAAATTCCAACTAACCTTTAATTTTAATCTTGGCTTTTTTTGCTTTCTTTTCAGTGACTTCATCCTCTTTATCCACCTCTTCTATTTTTCGTTTTTTAGAACAAGTGGGAAGTGTGGAGTCACCAGAGGGATCATATGTCTTCACTTCACTGAAAAAACCAAATAAATTGTGGAAAATCTTTACAAATATCTGTAACTAAAATAATTCAAGAAAAAAAGCAGGAAAATACTGTTGGATAAAGCAAAAGCACATGATGTGGTTTCATTGTAGCGGTTTTAGGGTATTTTAGGTAAGTCAATCACACTCAAAGTGAGTCAAATTCTGATTTATATTTAGAATTTAAATTCTATTATATAGAAAAACGACAGCATTGGAAGGAAAACAATCAAGTGAAATCACTTTCCAATTAACTACAAAGCAAAACTGCACTAATTGCAAGATGTTACACAATCCCATTTAAGACAAATCTTCACCACAAGCTGAAAAATGGTACAAAGAACACATCGATCCCCTACGACGTGAACTAAATCTCATTGCTGTGGTACAGAAATCTGAAACCAACTGAGCAGAGTTCTGTCCAGCAGGGCTGTAGATGAATGGCTGCTCAACTTTATAAGCTGTAAATACCATTTAATAACAGAGCCACACAAATCCAGCAAATGATGGAGTCTATATGCTTACAATTAATGCTATTAAATATTGTTCTGTCCCCTTCTAAGCTATAACGTCATTAAAATTCACACATACCTACCTAGGGATCATAACCCAAGAAGCTGTGACACTAAGGAGAACAATTTTGAATTCTAACAGCTACGATGTATATAGCAAGATCTCATATTTTTTGTTTTTTGCTTTTCAAAAGACTGTGTAGCCTAGACCAGCCTCCAACTTGCTATCTAGGGCAAGGACGAACATCATTTCTAGCCACACTGCATCCATTTTCCAAGTGGCTACTGATGAACCTTGATACACAATTAGTTTATCATAAAAGACACACAACTCCACCCCAATCACTGCAACTCACAAACATTCCACCTAGGCTACCGTCAAATGATAACCAAAGCATCCCTCTACATCCAATTATGGTCTCAATGCTTCTTTATGACTATGAACTCTATTTTCTAAGCCTGCCTGGGGTGTTTAGAAGACATTTCAATATGGATAACTCTTTAAGCATACTACAAAGTCAGTCAAGTGAGTGAATACATGTTTATGAAGGACCAGCAAGAGGGCGCGATGAGTAAATGCATTTGATACCAAGCCTGACCACCTCTTTGCAATCGCTGGAACTCACATGGTAGAAGGAGAATCAACTCTAACTTCCACACAAGTGCCATGGCTTGTGCACACACATACATCCCACCCCCAATATATAAAAGAAAAAGCTGGAAGAATGAAAAACTAAATGGCAAGGAAAAATTATGCACATAAAAGATGTGTATAGTCAGCATGGTGGTGGCTGTAGTTAACATGTTCCTGAAAATTGCTCACAGGATTTTTCAGTATTATCCACAAACACAAAAGATCTACCTGCCAACTTGATGTTAAGTGACTCCACAATTTCAAACATCTGTTAAAATACTGATACACTAAATAAATGAGACTTTTGTCACCAACTCCCACTCCAAAAAACCAAACCAAACCAAAAAAAAAAAACAAAAAAACAAAAAAACCACCAAAACTCGTTTTCCTGTGTGCATGTCCTGACAGCAGAGAGCTGGCTGCCATGTGGATGCTTGGACTCAAACCCAGGTCCTCTTCAAGAGCAGTAGGAGCTCTGAACTGCCAAGCCATTGCTCCAATCCTGCCAGTTTCGAAAATGATTTATGCTATGCGTATGAGTGTTTTGCCTGCATGTACGTGTATGTACAAGGGTGCCTGGTTTTGAGCCACCATGTGGGTCTTCTCCAAGATGACCTCAACGAACAATCGTAACTGCTCATCCATCTCTCCAGCCCTTCAATCCAGAGTCTACGATAAGAAAACCTTAAAAAACAAGCGACTTTCATCCTATGTACTTTACCTTTTGTGTTCGTACTTTTCTGCTTTTGCTAATGCTTTTCCTGTTCCACTTATTTTTCTTATCTAAGGAGAAAAATGAAAAGCACTAAGTCAAAATCTACAATACATCCTCTATTGGACAGCATACAGTAGTATGTGATAAATTCTTTCCTATTGAGTAAACATATTCAAACAAAAAACATTGTGTAATACGTTCTTGGCTAATGTAAAGTTAAATCAATAGCAGAAAATAATACTATTAAGCATACTAAGAAACATGGGGAAAAAATGTTACCAGTTGATTTTTGTGTTCATGAAAGTGTTAATTTATTAACTTCTGGAAGGCTAACATCTGCTGCAAATAGGGTGTGGTTCTTACCCCTCTGTCCTCCAAAATTCTCAATCTGGCCTCTAATTTGGCTCTGTTCTCAACTCCCATTGCAGAACTGGAATCTTCACCAAATGCATCGTATCGGATAGCTAAAACAGTTTTGGCTGCCAACATCCGAGAAATCTATTAACAAAACATAAACCAGACAGCAATGCTTATTTCCAAGGAGATTATAAATCCTCAATTGTTTACTCAAGAGAAAATTACAGAAAAATCACCATATTACCATTTATTCTGGACTAGAACAAAAAGGTCTAGTCATGTCTTTCTCTCTATCCTTTTCTTGACCTAAGTTCAATCCCCATGATCCACATGAGGGAAGCAGAGAATCGATTCCTGCAAGTTGCCCTCTGACCTCCACAGGCTTACACACACACACACACACACACACACACACACACACACACACACGAATACCTAAAGGAGAATTTCTTCAGGGCTGTGTCTGTAGCTTGTTGCTGGCATAGCTGTCACCTAGCATGTGTGAGGCTTTAAACTCAACCTCAGACACAGAGAGAAAAAGAATAAGACTAACCAATGTCTTGTGAATTCTTCTTCAAACTAATTTACAGTGTCTACTTAATCCTTTATTTCTATCAGTGTTCTCTTAATTTCACAAAACTTCAGTTTAATCCTATTCAATTAGGTATCTATAGAAGCACACAAATGTGTAAAATAGACACCCAAACCTGCTTTTCAAGAAGTGTTCAGCACAATGTATATGCTACATGTAATACCAGTTTTCTTGCTAAACAATAGGGTAAATTACAATTTATTTTCATTTAGTGTATAAATTTTTACTTTAATACTGCCACAAATTGAAAAAAACTAAAACTAACGTTGAGCCCCCGCCCCCAAGACAGGATTTCTCTGTAGCTTCGGTGCCTGTCCTGGAACTCACTCTGTAGACCATGCCGGCTTTAAACTAACAGACTGAACTGTCTCTGACTCCCACGTGCTGGGATTAAAGATGTGCACCACCACTATCTGAAACTGAAGTTTTAATGCATACTATAATTAAAGTAGTAGCAAAATGAGTTTGGGGGGAGGGATAAAGTTGAAGGATTAGAAAGATGCCCCCACAGGGGGAAGGGAGACAGAGAAATAACTACTCAGCAGTCAAGAGCACTGGCCTCAGTCCAATTCCCAGCACCACAGGGCTGCTCACAACCATCTATAATGAGATCTGGTGCCCTCTTCTGACCTAGAGGCATACATGCAGGCAGAGCACTGTATACAATTAAAACAGAAAGAACTGCCATTCTGATGGTGGCAATCTCCTGTAATCCCAGCACCTGGGAGGCAGAGGCAGGTCAATCTGTGTGTTCAAAGCCAGCCTGGTCTACAGAGTTATAGGACATCCAGGGCGACACAAAGAAACCTTGTCTTGAAACACCAAAAAACTAACAAACAAAAAATGGCTCAAATATTAACAGTATTTGCTGGTCTTACTGAAAACCTGGGTACAGTTCAACATAGACACAGTAGCCCCCAACTGAAGCTCTCTAGCAGCAGAGTACAGGCATGCACACAGTATACACACATCATACATAGGTAGCTACAAACACACGCAAACAATGTATCATGAAAAATAAAAAAAAATTAAAAAGAAGTCAAAAAGCTCAACTCACCTTTCCTTTATGTTTGGGACTTGTCTGGCCTACAAGGGAAGCATGATAAATGAGTCCATATTTAGGGGTGTCTCGTCTAGATTTGAGGGCCCTGAAAAGTGCTTTTTCTGCGCCAAGAATCTGAACTGTAGAAGCTGCATGCTTGGCCAAATTCAAAAGAGAACCTACAAAATAAACAAATACAAAGTTTTAAAAAAATGTATTTTCAGTTATATAAAGGTTCTATACTAGTATATTGAATTCCCTCAAAACTCTAAATGTTATTATATTATTCCTACTGCAAGGAAAGCTATGATCTGGAGAATTCAAACTCAGTACCACGGGAATATGAATGATGTAAACATCAGCAATTTGATCCATCGCCCAAGACTCTTAAAATAAAGTATGCTATTGCTATAGATACACTCATATCAATGGTATAGAGCCATTGTTCTACCCTTGCCGCAGAGATGAACCAAACATTTCTAGGGCAGGAGAGATGGCTCAGTGGTTAAGAGCAATCAATGACTGCTCTTTCAGAGAATCCAGATTCAGTTCCCAGCACCCACATGACAGCTCACAACTGTCTGCAACTTTAGTTCCAGAGGATCTGACACCTTCACACCAATGCACATAAAATAAAACAATTTAGAAATAAATGGAAACAGTCCATGTATCGTGACCTTACAGCAAAGGGGACTTGGAGTATGACACTGCTAACAGAATTATTCCAGCTTAAAAGAGATCTGTGATGAAGTATAGCAATGTATCCAGTTAATACTGTAATTTTAAAAATTTATTCAAATCTTGGGCTGATGAGTGTTTCTTCTTGATATTGAGAACTGACTAAATTTATGGCTAAAATATGAAAACAAACTAACTTTAGCCTTCTGACTAAGGACCACAGTGTCTCAGAAGAGGTAGTGACTGAAGATGCCCTCATTATTCAAAAAGAACTCAGGCAAAGCAACAGGAATCATCATTGAACCATGGTCCTCAGTCTGTACTAAGTGTTACACTTGTGCTACAAGTCACATTAAAACTGTCACCTGCATGAGCAATGAGTCGTGCTCCTACCAACTCCCCAACCATGACTGTAACATTGGGTGCGATGGCCATCATTCGATTTTGCAGATACTCATATAGCTGAGTTCTATACTCAGAAATTTCAATCACCTAAAATGAGGAAGTCACAAAGGTTATGGGTAAAGAGCATATGATGCATTTTGAAATTAGATTTCAATAGATACGAGTAGAAACTGTCAGTAACTTACTGACAGTTAAGTCAGCACTACAATGGCTGGGGCAAGACCAGGCCGGTGAGACCAATCCTAGGTGCTCGGCAACAACTACCTCTAAAATAAAATAAAGCTAGTCATGCTAGTTTGTGTTTGTAACCCCAGCACTCAGGAAGTCTGAGGAAAAAATTACAAAAAAATCTAGAATTAAGCAATCCAATCAGTATTATCTTGATAGTCTTAAGAAACTAGGTTAAATCACTTTTCCAAATATAATGCTCAGTCCAGGTGTGGTGGCGCAGGCCTTTAATCTCACAATTGGGTAATCTCTGATGGTGGAGACAGTGAAATCTCTGTGAGTTGTAATCCAGCCTGGTTTACATAGTGAGTTTCAGGACAGACAGGGCAACAGAGACCCTGTCTCGTAAAACCAGAACCCCCCCAAATAATAATATACATAATATAAATTACATCATGTTGTCATTATCACATAACCCACACCCAGTAACATGGCATCAGATGAGGTAGTGACTGAACACCTTCACAGAACGTCAGGTGAACAACAAATGCAAACATCATCATTGCCATCAGCAAAGACAACTACAGTCCCGGTGGGTGTATCGTACCTGGGTACACAGATGTAGAATGTTGCAGATATCTTCCTCGGAAACCTCTGTTCCCATAGATATCTCTGCGGCTGCTTTCACCTCTGCTTCTACCTCCTCTGACAGCAATTCAGAGAGAGTCGCAGATGCATAGTTCTTCCTGTCGCCTGTAGAATGCATAAAAGATGAAGCAGAATCATTCTCAAATATTGTAAAAACAGCAAAGAGGAGGAGGGAGGTAACTCAAATAGTGGCACACAAATATCACTAAGTCTGACCTAGGCTCTTATGTAAAACTGATTTAGAAATAAATTTTTGGCAAAGTGGTGACGGCACACACCTTTAATCCCAGCATTTGGGAGGCAGCCTGGTCCAAAGAGAGTTACAAGTTACAGGTCACACAAAGAAAATATCTCAATGCCTCCCTCAAAACAAACAAACAATCCAGTCAGGCTGTGGAGGTGCGGGTCTTTAATCCCAACACTTGGAGACAGAGGCAGATGGATCTCTGTGAGTTGAAGGCCAGTCTGGACTACAGAGCAAGTTCCAAGATAGGTACCAAAGCTACACAGAGGAATCCTGTCTTAAAAAATCATAATAACAAAACACCCCAAGAATTATTTGGAAAACAAAAAAATAAAGCATCTTATAAACATATTTTATAAAAGGTGACAGATACAAATAGGATTAAGGGTCAGGCAGTGGTGGTACGTGGCTTTAATCCCAACATTTGGGAGGCAGAGGTGGGTGTATCTCTGAGTTCAAGGCCAGCCTGGTTTACAAGGCAAGTTCCAGGACAGCCTATCTCAAAATACCCCGACCCCTGAAAAGAATAGAATTCAGGATACCATAAGAGGATTCAAAGGGTGCAACATTCTGAAACTATATGTGTGTGTTTCAAGATAGGGTTTCTTTGTGTAGTCTTGGTTGTCCTGGAACTTGCTCTGGTGTCAGTGCGAACACTGTGACCTGGCAGAAACTCTAAACTTTAGGTGGACCTCACAAAGTCTTAATAATACACCTTGAGGTTACTCAAGATCTAACATTGCCATCCTACTGTCTACTCAGCCTGCTTCTTAACCTGCTTCTAAGAGAACAATGCAGCAATTAACCTCATTTGCCTTGGATTTCTCATGGAATCAACTTTTAGAGCCTAATTTAATGCAAAGCTGTAATCTTAAAATATACCATAAAAGCTGAAAGCATCATTTATAGATACTGGTTGATAAACAATAATCTTTGTTCTCTGGGTCAGTTGAAACTAGTGGCTTTGTTACTTGGAAAGTTATTTAAAAGAAGTCACTTAAAAAGCTCAGTTTTAAAACAACATGAAATAGCCACATTTGAAAATTTAAAACTAATTCTACTAAGGTATATCAATTTTTTATTACTACTGAGTTATAGTCATGTATTTTCAACACAAAGGGTAAACAATCGACTTACCAACTTTCTGTAAACACTTGCAGTATGTCAAATTATCTGAAATAATTTTCCCTAACTCAGGGAAGTGCCAGCCATACCACTCCCTACACCGCATAATGTAGTTGTTTAGTTCTTTATCCAAGTCATCTAACAAAGCTGCAATATGAAATAATAACAGAAGCAATGAGGGACTGATAACAAATTGTCTTGAAGCATTTTCAAGCATTTAGTGGCATTAAGTACATTCACACTGTACAACCATTATTAACACCACCCTTTTTCAGAATTGTTCCATTATGCGACTAATTGAAAATTTATACCCCTTAAAAAGCAACCTCTGAGCCAGGTGGTGTTGGTGCAGGCCTTTAATACCAGCACTCAGGAAGCAGAGGCAGGTAGATTTCTGTGAGCTCGAGACCAGCCTGGTCTACAGGGGCTAGTTCCAGGACAAGCCCCAAAGATACAGAGAAACCCTGTCTCAATAAACCAAACCAAGCATACAAATGAAAAGGCAACCTCTGGAGCCAGGTGTGCTGGGACACACCTTTATTACCAGCATCAAGAAGAGTTTTGTTTACATAGTGAGTTCCAGGACAGCTACATAGTGAAACTCCATTTACAAACAAACAAAATGTACAGATATCAGTCATGGCTCAGTGAGTGAAGTCACTTGGTGTCAAGCTGGACACCTGAGTTCAATCCTTAAGATGCACATGGTAGAAGGAGAGAACTAGATTTCCAAAGTCGCCTCTGACTGTCACACAAATGCTATGTGCACACTCTTCTCCAATCCCCAGGAATCTCTAGACAACTTTCTATCTGTGCCTGTTCTAGGCAACTCTTTTATGTTTGTGCTTGATGCCCTCCAGAGGACATTAAGAAGGATCCCCCAGAACAGGACAGTCGTGAGCTATGGTGTGGGTTCTGGAAATTAAATCCTGATTAAAGGTAGCAAGAGCTACCTTTCCGCATTGTTTGGCTTCTTTCATAGGTGAAGTCTTCCTCGTTATGGCATGTATTACATTCTTTCTTTTAAAACCAAATGCCATCGTAGGTGTATGCACCTGTATCTACATTTTGTTTATTTATTGATTGATAAAAATTTTCCTTTTCAGCTAGTATAAATAATCCTGCTATGAATAGAGGTGTGGCAACCAAAGGGACTACTAACCCCAAGATTTTAATTTGATACACATTTAGTAATATGTTGGTCAAAGCTGTTTTTATTACTTCCATGTTTCTTAAAATTGTTCAACTGATGAGCATCTAAAAAAGATAGGTGAAAAACAGAACACTTAAGTACACAAATCTTCCTTGAAGTTTTAGCACTTACAACGAACAAAATTGTTATGTAATATTAACACGATTCTAGGTTTATCGTTTTCTACTTTGCTTCCCCAGTTATCTCACTGAAGTTCTAGTTCATCTTTAACAGACAAAATTATTAACAGCTGAGAAAAAAAACAGAATTAAACAGATCAGATTCTGCCATGTACTTACAAATTGCCTGAACAATCATTGTGTCTACTTTATCAGCACTGAATTTCAATCTGTATCGAGACAGGCTGGGGAGATGAAGACAAATAAACAGCATTTTACAAAGGACTTCAATTAACGCATCCCATTCCTACCTTCCCCGACTTGTGCAGCCGTATGAATGGGTAGCTAGTGCAGGCTAGAGCCCACCTTGTCTCTAAAGCAGGTCTCTCACTGGACTAGAACTTGCATAGCAGGACAGGATGGTCAGCAAATGAGCTCCAGGACCAACTGTGTAAAACCCTACACTCTGGGATTTTAATGCTGCAAAGCCCAGGACTTTATGTGAGTTCTGGAGGACCTGAACTCAAATCCTTATGATTGTGTGATAAATACTTCGCAACTGAGCTAGCCTTGAACTTGCCACAGAGCTGACCACTACGGCCTATGTATTTCCATATGAATTTGTTCTGGTGGACAGAGTGGTTATATTGATCTTGTAGGGCTGTGTGGCTACACAACAGGACTTCAAAGCCCCCCCCCAAAAAATCGTAACATTTGTATAACATCTAAAAACAACGTTTCGGGGAACAGCAGATGTGAAGGTATCAAATCTCGCCACTGAAGACATTTGTAGCCTTGCTCGCATATTGCAGGGTTTCCTTTACATTACAGGACATTTTCAGTATCTCTGACTTTTAATCACAAAAAGTAATCATTTTTTTAAGTGTTGAACTACTTTTGTTTGTTTTTTGAGACAGGGTTTTTCTGTAGCTTTGGAGCCTGTCCTGGAACTTGCTGTGTAGAGCAAACTAGCCTCGAATAGAGACCTGTGTATCTCTGCCTCCGAGTGCTGAGATTAAAGATGTGTGCCACCACCACACGATGTGTTGATTTTTAAATAATATGCTCACAACCTTTCGCTTTTCCCCCAAAACAGGGTTTCTGTGTTAGAGCCTAGCCCAGGAAATCTATGTCCCAGGTTCTAAGAAAGACTCTGTCTCAAAGAAATAGGGAAAACAGAAAAGGACAACCTTTTCTGGGCTTAAGACATACACCACGTACAATTGCACATAGCAAAAAAAGTTCTTTCTCAGACCACAGCAGAGAAAAGACATGAAACAAGCAATCCACCACTAAAGGGGAGAAGATAATTTATGAGATTTTAAAGAATACAGGCAATAGCTGGGTGTGGTGGCCCGCACCTTTAATCCCACCACTGTGGAGGCAGAAACAGGTGGATATCTGAGAGTTCCAGGATAGCCTGGGCTACTCAGAGAAACCCTGTCTTGGAAAATAAAAAAATACAGTAGTTCTGGGGCTGGAGAGATGGCTCAGCAACTAAGAGTATTGGTTACTCTTCCAGAGGTCCTGAGTTCAATTGCCAGCACCAATACTGTGGTTCACAACCATCTATAATGAGATCTGGTGTCTTCTCCAGGCGAGCAGGCATACATACAGCAGAACACTGCATACATAAGAAATAATTTAAAGAAAGCCAGGTTCTGTGGGTTCATATCACTTATCAGCTATACTGAAGATGAGCAACAGTTTCTTCATGTGAGCAACTGTAGCATCTTCCTGATATTAAATGAATACTTGTAATACTTTAAGAACAGTATTTAAATGTATGTATAAAATTGAATATTCTTAATTTTTCTGTTAAGTCTTACCTGTGAGCTAATCCAAGACACATGGCTGCCATCTCACGTGGTTCCACCCCGGGAATCAAGCCATCCATTTGCGATCTAATTCCCCTCATAAGTTCATTAACAACAGGACTGTGGATACAGCTGAGATTCAGTTTTTCCTATAAGAACATTTATATTAGATAAAAAGGAAATTTTCCTGAAAATTCATCTTTGTTGGCTTTCAGATAGCTCAGAGTAACAATCCTGCCTCAGACTCCTGGAATGACAAGCATGAGCTACCACACTGGATTCTGAAATAACACGAACTATTAAAACAGAGAGATAGTTCAGTGAATAACAGCACTGGCTTTTTGCAGAAGCCCTGAGTTTGATTCCCTACATCCCCACAGTGCCTGTAACTCCTGTCCTAGGATCTGATGCTCTCTTCTGAGCTCCACAGGGACCAGGCGCACATAAAGGCAAAATATTCATACAATAAAAATAAAGACTTTTTTTTTTAAAAAAGGAAAGAAACAAAAACCAAAAAAAGTTCACGGGCCAGGAGGTGACTGGCACAACTTTAATCCCAGCACTTGGGAAGGAGAGGCAGAGGCTGGCAGATCTGAGTTCAAAGTCAGACTAGTCTATAATTAAGTTCCAGGACAACCAGGGCCGCAGAGAGAAATCCATCTCTACCAGGAGAAAAAAAAAGTTGATGGAAACTAAATATGAAAAACTTCCAGAGTATTAAGAAACAATAACCACAAAAACCAAAACACCATTTTAGCTAGGCTAAGGTTTCAATGCTGTAAAACATTAATAAATCTGACAAGAATTTTTCTTGCTTATTGGAGTGAACCACTGCTTTTTTAAGTATTTATTTATTACGTATACAATATTCTGTCTGTGTGCATGCCTGCAGAACAGAAGACAGCGCCAGACCCCATTACAGATGGTTGTGAGCCACCATGTGGTTGCTGGGAATTGAACTCAGGACCTCTGGAAGAGCAGGCAATGCTCTCAACCGCTGAGCCATCTCTCCAGCCCACCACTGCTTTTTGTTTTTATTTGAATTTTAAGATTTAAAAAAATCTGTGTGTATGTATGTACCTACTTGAGTTTCTCTGCACCGTGAAGTGCAGGTGCCTTCAGAGGTCAGACGGTGTCAGATCCCCTGGACGGGATCTGAAGCCAGGTCCTCTGCAGAGCACTGTATGTGTTCTCCACCACCCAGTCATCTCTCCAGCCCCTTTCCTAACTTTAGAATTATGGAAGTTATTTCTATGCTACAGCATTTTAATTAAAAGTAAAGGCAAAACGTTTCAATCTTTAGGTCTTTCCTCTGGTGATAAGTATCTCTTATATACCACCCCTCCCCCAGTAATAGTGGGTAAGAAGTCTTCCACCAACTTCCCATCTCTCCAGCCCCCCTGAGCTATACTTTAATTAATATAATCTCAAAAAACTCCTTGCCGGCGTATACCACTATACTTCACTTCAGGTTTTCTCTCTTGTACTTTTATACCAGATACTAAGAGCTTCCAATGCACACATCTTTACTGACTGTATTGAATGGGAAAATGTTTATCTAAGGATTATCCTAAAATGTTAACAGGGCGAGAGCTTCTTTATCCTTTTTTGTTATCTGTTTTCTACAATGTACAGGGGACAGCTGTTTCTGCAACTTCTACTTCAGTTTCTCATGATGCCTAAAAGAAACATGGATTGTGAGAACACGTGACATCGTGACATCTGACCACATAGGTCTGACAGGCATGGAGAACCGTGATGGCCTGGCCTTCCTTACCTTTATCACCCCTCCTAGTTTAGCGTCAGCCACAGCCAGAGGTTCATGGGCTTCTTTTACTATTTTCTTCAGAACTTTCTTCAGCTGTTTATTGATTTTACCCTCCATCAGAGCTGTGAATGCTTTTTGGGGAGGGGGAGAGAAAGTTTTAAGTAATAAAGCTCTTCTGATGTAAATTTTAAAGCAAATACTTGCCCTTAAAGAGACTCACATGTTTCATGTATTTGTTTTATTACACCATTCATAAATGCCCGCCATGGTGGTGTACACCTTTGCTCCCAGTACTTCATAGACACAGAGGAACAGGAGGATAGGAGTTAAGGCCAGCCAGTGAAATCCTGCCTCCATACATAAGGTTTTTAGGATTCAACTTTTTATAGCTCACTGCTATAGGTTTGGCAGGCCTCAAACTTACGATTTTCCTTTAGCCTTCCATTGCTGGGAGCTAGAAGTGTCCTGTTATACTGGCTATTTCATTCTACTGTTCAACACTGTTTTCCTAGTATCTATTTTTTTATAAAGAGACTTCTTCCTTTCATTCATTCCCTACTTAAATTTTTTAGTCTTTTGGGTTGAGGATAGAGTGTTTGCTTAGCATGTGAAAAGTCTTGGGCTAGATCCCCAGAAACACACACACTTTAAAAGTTGAACTTCATATTCTCAGTTTAAATTTTTGTTTTTACATACACAGTTATTTTGCCTAATGTATACCTGTGCACCACTTGTATGTCTGGTGCCTCTAGAGGCCAGAAGACAGCATCAGAGTCCCTGCAACAGGGATCACAAACACTTGAAAGCTGCCATGTGAGTGCTGGGAATTGAACCTGGGTCCTCTGGAAGAGTTTCTGGCTCATCTCTAGTTTGTAATCTTCACATAACACAATATTAATTTTGATCTAGCACAATAACCCTTCTCTTAATTTTTTTCTGAATAAAATCTCTACACTAGAATTACTCTAGATTCTATTCTAGGTTATCATATACAAAATAGTTATTTCACTAAAAATGAAATTCAAAAATTAAATGTGTCAAATATTTTAGGAAATAATTTCAAAAGCTGGGTGTGGTGGTGCATGCCTTTAATTCCAACACTAGGTGGCAGAGCTGGGTAGATTTCTTGTGAGTTCAAGGCCTGGTCTATACAGCAAGTTCCAAGAGAGTCAGGGCTACAGAGAAAGCCTGTCTTGGGGAATGGGAAAGAAAAAAAATAACTTCAGGGGACTGGAGAGATGATTCAGTGGTTAGGCACACTGGCTGCTCTTCCATGGGTTCTGAGTCTAATTCCCAGCAACCACCAAGGCAGCTTACAACCCTCTATAACTGTAACCCCGTGGGATCTGATGCCCTCTTATGGTGTGCAGACAAATCACCTATTTAATATAATAAATAAATTTCTCAAAAGAGTAACTTCAAACAAAACAGGGGCAGCAAGATGGCTCAGTGGGCCAAGGCTTTTGCCACAAAGCTGAGCACGAGTTTGACCTCACCCCCAAGCCTATGTGAAGAGAATAAACTCACTAGCTGCACAATGTTAAAGGAATAAATATTTCCAATATATAATATTAATAAGATCCCAATAGACTCTAAAGCTACAAAATTTAAATTGCATACTGTGGTCTGTAGTTACTCAGCTTTGGGGTTGTCATGCCAAAACTGCTTCATAGGACCAGGGAGATGGCTCAGTAGGTAAATGCTTGCCATTCGACCCTGCACAACTAAATTAAATTCCTGGAGCCCACGAAAAAGTGCAAGGAGAGAAGTGAAATCACAAAACTGTCTTCTCGTTTTCATGCGTGTATCACGGCACTGGTACCTGCCTGTCCCCACAACTGCCTCAGAGGACCTGGGATAATGCTCAGTTGGTAAAGTGCTTGCCTAACAAGCTTGAACTCCTGGGTCTGAGCTCCAGCACCTAAGCAGAAGTCATCCTTGGCTCCAGGCCACCTTTGGCTACATACACCTGTCTTGCACTGAACAAAATAAGCTGCCTTATGACAGACATACACTTCTAACTCCTGGGAAAAAAACTTGTCTGTTTGATAAAAACATTTTATCAGGTTTCCTGAGATCAGACGTTTTAGAGGTCTCCATGACAGCATTCCTGAAGTAGTTTACTCATTTCTCTCACTTAAAATTATATCATAAATTTTCTCTGCTACTATTTATACCAGATCTCTCTTCACAGGGCTGTTAATTTATTAGCAATTAATGGTAAAGAAACTTGCTTTGTGTGCTGGGAGGTTGGGGCATGCAGATCTGTGAGTTCTAGGACAGTTAGAAACTGTCCTATTAGAAACCCCTAACAACAACAAAAAATCTTGTCTAGTTTTAAACCATTCTTCCTTATAGCCCTTTGCTATCAAATAATGGACCGATTAGTGATCCAGAGCATGCCTGTCATCCATCATAAAGCCAATGTTGAAGGCTATGAATCACTCTTTCCTTTAAAACACATATAAATCCATGCCCCTTGGTGGTTTGCATGTGCAGAGTACCTACCTACACTTTAAGTAACTCTACTTCCCTTCAGTTTTGAATATTGATATGCTTTTGTATTTTGTATTTCAGGTGGCTACCTTCAGCTTCACCTTAAATTACATAAATATTAGACTAGGTACATGACCACGTTACCTTGGTCCCTTGTAGAACAGCTTTTACTGAACTGTGCTTCAGCATTAGGCTACTGGTTTCCACAGGGAGATCAATCTAATCACTTCTCATCACATGGGGGAAACCAGCCCTATAGTGAAAAAAGCTACCTCAATGTTGTCTCAGTGGTAGTGACGAATGGGTTAGATCACTGGAATTCACTTCCAATAAGGATGCATCATCGACAACATTGAGTAAGATTAACTCAAGCAACTGAAGAAAATAACCTTTTAATAAAAAAGTCAAAATTTTTAATTAAAAAAGTAAAATAAAGTTTCTAGTCTTACTTTACCTGCTAATGCTTCTGCTGTATCCTGAAATTTCTCAAAATGTTTTAGCTTTACTCTAGAATTGAAAGAGAACAAATACATTATTGGAACAGTAATTCTGCAAAAGTTACATAGCCAGAAAAAGAGAAGCTGGATGTTTCCATAGCATATACTACAATAAACTTGCTAGATGTGATGCAACATGTTTGGAATTCCAGCTACCAGGAAGTCACAAAAGGATCACAAAGTCAAGGGCAGTGCAGGTAACTACTTGAACTCTGTTTCAACTTATTTTAAAAATATATAAAACAGCAGGGTGAGGTTGCATGTGCCTTAATCCCAGCACTTGGGGAGTAGAGGCAGGAGGATCTCTGTAAATTCAAGACCAGCATAGTCTACACATTAAGCTCCAGGGCAGCCAAGACTACAAAGAGATCCTGTCTCAAAAAGCTAATAAAAAGTTGGCAATTTAGTTTCAGGTTATAAGGACCAGGGTTGTTATGATCGTTTTGTCTCTTTAAGAGACAAGCCACGCCCACTCCCTTCCTGCCTGCAGTCTCAGACTCCACCCTCTCTCTTCCTGTCCCCGCTCTTGGAGAGGTTGCCTTTTTCCCCTCTCTACCCTTCTCTCCTTTTTCCTTCCTCACCATAACCCATCTAATAAATGTCTAACTTAATTTTGTATGGTACGTTTGTCCGTCTCTCTTGCCCGCCGGCCCCAGTCACATGGAGACCATCAGCATGGTCTTGTGCGCTGTCCCTGCTTGGGACCCTGGCAGCTTGTAACAAACTCATCTGCATGGTGTCTGCCTGCCCTTTGCCCACCTAGCTGGGGACGCCCAGGGGACCAACCACCTTGGTTTGTGAGGACCTGCAGCAAATCCATAATAAGGGTTCTATCCTCAGCACCACCAGCCACTAACTAGACAAAAAAACCACCAAGCATATGTGAAAAGTAACCTACTACCCACCGATACCTTGAATCCCAGTGTTCGGAAGACCGAGGTGTACCTCTGAATTTGAGGCCAGCCTGGTGTACAGAGTAAGTTCCAAGACAGCCAGAACTACTAAAAAAACCCTGTCTCCCTCTTCTCCAAAAAACAAACAAACAAAAGCAAACCTATTGTCAGATTTGCTTTCCAATATTGCCTACAGCATTTACATTCACAATGTTTTATGTACAAAGAAATGTATTCATTGCTGTCTCAGTGGTAGTGACGAACTTTTGTTAAATCACTTAGACTCAGTTCCAAAAGAATACATCATTGACAACAATGAATAAAGATTAATCCAGCAAAGCAGATGCCCTCTAAAATGGAAAAACTAGTCTCTATATGCCTAAAACAACATTATTAGCTAAAACGAAGTTTTTTTTTACCTGGGAAAGTAAATGCTGGTATAGTCCATCAAATGTACGCTTAAAAGCACATAGATTTTAACAACAAAGTCCTGAGTTTATCTTTTTTGGCCCTGTTCTAACCCCATTTCTACCTTTATGAAGTGCCATCAGAGTCTCTCAAAACTCTCAAGGATCCACAAAGATATAAATTGAATCACATTAAGCCAATTAAGTTGATTTTCCTCAGTGCATCATGGACATGATGCACTTTGTTCAATAATGCTATTGTCGATGGAGCACCACAATATGATTCATTTTGCCCTTTCTCTAGGTTTATCACTCTATTCTTTTTTGTATTTATTAGCAGTAGCAGATGAATGATCCATAGCTATGTGCCCTCTGAATCCATCAGTACCAATAGGATCATCGAGTGTCTTTTTAGGACCACATGCATCCAGTGGGCTATTTCATAAGGTGACTCACAAATGGTGAAACAGCAACCCTGGATCTACCTTGAGGAAAAGCCTACTACTTTCCCCAACCCATTTAGTTACCAAAAGAACTGGAGGAATCACAGCATACTTTTCTAGAAGTTACAACCTAGCTGATTCACTACACTCTAGAGCTAGGAATAAAAGTCATATGGAAGATACAGCTACAATTACTGCTTTTAAAAGAAATTTACACTTATTTTTGTAACATGTTTGTTAGTGCCTTCAAACATGTCATAAAACATTAATCTTGGGGCACTGTCCACTGTAGTCTACAATACCAACTAGCTGTGATAGCCTATGTTCTAAAAACCAAAGCTGAAAATAACTCCCAGAGGGGCAACTAGTATAAGTGCCTAAATCCTTAGATTCAATATTACTTACATTTTATTTGCTTTTTCTGGAGTTTCGAATTCTTTCCACAAACTATCAACCTCTTGAAGTTTCTTCTCATTTAGAACCTGCAATAAACCAGTTTTCTTCAAACGGCAGTTTAGACACACCAGTCACATTCTTCAGACGGCAGTTTAGACACACCAGTCACATTCTTCAAACGGCAGTTTAGACACACCAGTCACATTCTTCAGGCTACACCACTCAGGCTGTGGTGGCGCCTGCCTTAATCCCAGCACTCAGAAGGCAGAAGGCAGAGGCAGAAGGCAGAGGCAGGCGGATCTGTGAGTTTGAGGCCAGCCTGGTCTACAGAGCGAGTTCGAGGACAGGCACCAAAGCTACAGAGAAAGACAAAAACAAAACAAAAAACAGGTAGAAAAGTGTTTCTTTTATTTTTTTATTGAGCTGAGCTAGTTTCTAATATAGCCTAAGTTTTGGTCAAATTAATAGTTAACCTAGTTACAGTCTTAGAGAACATTTCCTGTGTTTTTTCCTGCCTACTGGTTCTTAAATTGATTTTTTTTTAAATCTAAGCTCTTAAACATTCTTCTGTATTGATACATGTCAAGAACAGATTTCTGGCCCAGCGTGGCAGCACACACCTTTTACCCCAGCACTGGGGAGGCAGAGGCAGGCAGAGCTCTGAATTAGGGGCCACAGAGCGGGTTCCAGGACAGGTTCTACATCTACTGAGAAAACCCCGTCTCAAAAAAAAAAAAAAAGAAAAAAGGAAAAAAAAAAGAAAAGAAAGAAACTATTGGAAGATAACATTTGCATTAGCAGAGCTGTTGAAAGATTATTTCATGGATGTGACTGTTCTTCCTGCATGCAAACATGTACAGCACAGGCGGGAAGAGGTAGGTTCTGGGAAGCTAGGCCCTCTGCAAGGACAGGCGCTCTTAGCCACTATGCCATCTCTTCAGCCCCCACTGTCATAGCTAGAACTAAAGTTAAAGCCACAAAGGAAATGTAAAGTCGTAGTGATTCATATTTATCCAAACATTTACAAAAACTGTTAAAGCAAACAAAACTTTGGCTATTATAGTCCCAATCATGCTACTATATATTGTTTCTGAACAAAACGTTTGTTTCACAATTATCTAATTTTATATTTAAAAAAAGTCCAATTGGAGAATGGGGTTTGTTATATAGATAAAACTGGCCTCGAACCTGACTATTCTGTCACAACCTTTCAAGTGTGTTATAGGCAACATCCATTACACCGAGCCGCCTCCATGTTTAAATCACTGATTTTCACACAGGGAAACTGGAAATATCTGCATACAAAAAACCATTTTGTTTCATTGTTTAAACTAAGATGGAACAATTTCTAAGTAGAAATAGTGTATAGTTATTGCTACCATAAAAATCCTTGGGGGCTGGAGAGCTCAGTGGTTAAGAGCACCGTCTGCTCTTCCGAAGGTCCTGAGTTCAATTCCCAGCAACCACATGGTGGTTCACAACCATCTGTAATGAGATCTGGTGCCCTCTTCTGACCTGCAGGCAGAGTACTGAGAATACTGTATACATAATGAATAAATAAATCTTTTTTAAAAAAAATCTTTGGCATTGTTATAATGTTCTCAGTTTAAAAACACTTCTGCGGTTTGGAGAGATGGTTCAGAAGTTAACTCTGTCCTCCCAGAGGTCCTGAGTTTAATTCCCAGCAACCACATGGTGGCTCACAAACATCTGTAATGAGATCTGATCTCTGGTGTGCAAGCCTACATGAAGGTATACATAATAAATAGATATTAAAAAAACCACTTCTTTGTATATTACAGCCTGAACATGCTGAAATACATATATAAAACGAATTACCCAGATTTGCTTCAAAATACATCGGTAAGGGAGCAAGATAGAGGTAACACAAAATTAGTCTGTTAAAGGTGAATGAAGCCAGGATGGTCTACATAGTGAACTCACCCTATCTTAAAACAAACAAGCAACAATGATTCCCAAAAAACCAACCCAAATGTCTCCCTACTGTGAAATGTCTTACAACAGAAAGTAGGAGGGCTGAGATGGCTCAGGAGGTGCAAGTGCCAATCTAAGCACAATGCTCAGAACCCATCTTCTGAGCTAGGAGAGAAACACCACAGAGCAACCCTCCACACACACACTGTCTTGCGGGACTGAAGAGACATAGTTCCCAGGACCCACACTACAACTCATAATGGCATCAAGCTCCAGTTCTAAGAACTTTAAAAGCCCTCTTCTGGGATTCGCGTGCATGGGCTGCAGATAAACACTCTCTCCCTTTCCCGCACACACAAAATTTTAAAATTTTTTTTGGGGGGCCAGCCAAGGCTACATAATTAGACCCTGTCTCAAAACAAAACAAAAACCACAAACAAAACCACAGAACTTTTAGACTTGTTTTTCTTTCTCCCTTTTTTGCGACAGACTTATTGTGCTGCCGTGGCTGGCCTAGTACTTGCTATAAAAGACCAGGCTCGCCTCAAGCTCACAGAGGCCTTTTGCCTCTGTAGTGCTGGAATTAAAGGCTTGTTCTGGGGTAAGGTTTATTTAAATCAGATGGAGATGTGTATGTGCAGACACTGTATTATAAAATTCAAGCTTGAAACTATGAACTCCCCGATTCACACAATTACATCACCTAACATATCGGCAAGCCTCACACAACCCAAATTGAAAATCATGAGCACCGTGTCCCCAATCTTCCTACATTTAAAAACAAACAAAAACCTTCTTTCAATTACATTCAAAATTTCTCCTTGACAATTCAAGCAATCTCACTTAATCCAAAAAAAAAAAAAAGGAATATGACACTCGTAGTTATGGGCGGTGAGGTTCATTGTAGATATGGGGGAAAGCACAGCCAGGAGCATCCGGAAGAGTCCAGCCTAAGTCGGCAACGAGAGAGGAAAAGACGGAGGGACCAGGAGCCGAGCGACCATAAAAAGGCCGGGTTATACAGGAACCAATGACGCCGGGTAAAGGGTCCAGCCCAGGAGGATCCAGTAACAGGTGGATTGGCGGCTAGTCGGCTCTGATACGTTAATAGGCACCTCAGCCACCTGACCTGGGTTTTGAGACCTAACATTTATGTTGTCTACATTAAAGCACAAGCATTTCCCTTCCTTTCGTCTTCCTGCTATCGTCACACTGCAATCTTTTAAGAAGATTAATAATATTATTAATATTAATCTTTCAATAATAATAATAATAAGCAATCTTTTAATAAGTCAAGCCACGCTAGGTCACTACTCAAAAGCATCCAACCATGCCGTTAGGACCCTGATCTTGAACTCGGGCTTTAATAGTCTAAATAGTTTCCAATCTACATAGAGGGAATCTGCGTCAACGAATGAATGAATGAATGAATGAATGAACTGACCTTAGGTTAGGGATGCAGCTCTGTGGTTGGCTGAACATGTACTAAGTCTTAGGTTCTATCTACCGCGAATATTCTTATTAAATGAACGCTTTACTATCACTCGCACAGGTCCTGTCCATCTTTCAAACTGAGCAAATGCTCTGAAGCTGAGCAGGTAACCCTAAAGCCCGCCGAGCCACGTGCTCACCTCAACACCCGGTCCCTTCACTTTTTCACTCCTTTCCGGAGCCCAAAAACTTAAAAGACATTCGGACCTGCTCGTCGTGTCGGCCTCTCTCTAAGGCTTACCCCACTCCCCGTCTATCCCATCCACACAGGCATTTGGGGGCAACACCTCCATCGGACCTACCTTAAAGATGGCGTAGCCAACGGACGTTTCAAACAGGACCAACATGGTGAGGCCGGGGCGCGGCTAGCCGCGAGCTCTCACGCCGCTGCAAACCCCGAACCTCTCGGCCACCGACGGCCCGCTAGGCCTCGGAAACGGGAGCGGACACACGCTCGCCTCCCTCGGAGCCGCTAGACCACGCCGCAGAAGCGTCCCACGCCTCTCCTCATGAAACAGCCAGCGTGCGAGTCTCCTTCTCTAAGGATGCTGGGGTGCCGGCGTCACTTCCGGCCGATCTCCGCCGCAGCGGAGCGTGAGGTCACTTCCGGGCTTTTCCCGCCGGCGAAGTCGGGAGAGGAGGGGGGGGGCATCAGAATATCGCGAGACTTCTGAGGCCCTGACCTGGTAACTTGACATAGCTGGTTTGTGCGGTTAAGTGAAGGAAAGTAAATTCTATATAAATTAAATGTATAGTTTATAAACATAATGTATACATACGTATATATGTATGTATACGTTATATATATTTACACCTCATTATGCCCCGCCCCACCATATGAGTGACATATTTTATCTTTAAAGAATTACAGAGTTAGCCGGGTGGTGGCGCACGCCTTTAATATCAGCATTTAGGAGGCAGGAAGATCTCTGTGAGTTCGAGGACAGCCTGGTGTACAGCGTCCGTTCCATAACAACCAGGGCACCACAGAGAAACGCTGTCTCAAAAAATCAAAATAAAAAAAGAAAGAAAACTTCAGAGATGACTGGATCAGTGTGTCTGTTGTTGGCATCTGAATTTAAAAGGGCCAGGACTTGGCTGTTTATTTTGTTTCACGTCAGAACAAACAATACTGTGCATATAAATGCAGTCTAAAACTTCAAAAGGGCCTGGTGTGGTGGTGCACACCTTTAATCCCAGCATTCACAACCACAAAGCTGAGGCTGGCAAATCAATGCGTCCGAGGTCGGTTTGGTCTATATAGTGAGTCAAAATAGCCAGGGTTATGTGGAGAGAACTGTCTCAAAACGCCTAAAAAATGAAATTGATATTTACTGCCTTTAAACTTTACTCCCTTTCAAACCTTGCCTTGAAGAGAAAACATCAGAACAACACCAAGGCTTTTTTTTTTATTTAGCCGGATGTTGTGGCATAGATCTTTAATCCCAGCACTCGGGAATATTGAGTTTTAAGAATATGTAGAGAGACACTGTTTCAAAAAAAAAAAAAGTTTTATTTAGCAGATGGCTCAAGGATTGAGAGCATATTTTCTTGCAGAGGATTAAAAAAACTTTGTTTTTTATTTTACGTGTATGAGTTTTGTTTTTTTTGTACATAAGTGCACTGTGTAGTGTCTAGAGCCCACAGGAGTCCTGGAAGTGGAGTTGTAGGCAGTTGTAAGCAGCCACTTCAGTGCTGGGAACATAACCCGGTCCCCCGCAAGGGCAAGTGCTTTTAACCTCTGAGTCCTAACATCATGACTTTTTATACCTCTGAGTCATCCCTAGTCCCAACATCGTGACTTTTTATACCAGGACCATTCCTGGTTGTTCTCTTTCTCTGGTCAAACTGGTTTTGAGCACATTTCGTTTATAGCTATAGATACCAACATCTTCTGTTTTTTGTTGTGTTTGAGATGATCTCAAGGCGTGAATTTAAGCCTGTCTCAGTTTTATGGGAACTTTCAACCTCAGTGGCAGGGTTTATTTTGAAATGAGGTTTTATGTATCTGAAACTGGCCTCAAACTCCCATGAACTGAGAATGACCTTGAATTTTTGTTTTTTGTTTGTTTAAGACAGGGTCTCTCTCCATAGTCCTGGAAATTTGTAGGCTATGGTCACCTAAACTCACTGAGATCCACCTACCTCTATGTCCACAGTATTGAGATTACAGCCATATGACACCACACTGAGTTTATTATTGCTGGGGATGGAACCCAAGACTTAGTGTATGGTAGCCAAATACTCCACTAAGAGTCACAGCCCTCTTTTGGTTTTTTTGAAACAAGGTCTCTGTATCTAACCCAGCTTGGCCTTGAATCACAGTCTTCCAGCCTTGGCCTCCTGAGTGCTAAAATTAGATACTTAGATACCTGTGTGACCAAGTATGTTCAGTGACTGGATTTCAATACCCCAGTTCTGAAAAGAATGACCTGTAGGAAATAAAAGGGGATTCTAAGGGAAACCTGGGGTGCAGGCAAAAGCACAGTTGATTAGAACAGTTAAATTCATCGTATTTAGGAAGACAAGAGAAACCAAAGATAAGGGAGAGGAGAGAAAGGGCCTAACAGTATAATGCGGGCAGAGAGTAACACCAAAATAGCTTGATTTGAGAGAAGACTGTGGGAAGATGGATGAACTAGAAGAACTATGTCTCTTTATAGTTCTCGCTCCTTCTATTTTTATGTTCTTGTGTCCTTAGTAGGTGTCATTTCCTAGAGAGTTCTACCTGCAGTTTATGCTTGCCTGTGTCCAAAGAACTATGTGGTGTTGTTCATCATAAGATCTGATTAGGTAATTCTTTTAATATTTAAATAAAGGAATGCCTTCAGGAAGTAAAATTCTTTTCCTTACAGCTAAACATTTGTATCTGCCACTTCCATAATTCCCACAATCCCAGAATTTGGGAGGCAGAGATAGGCAGATTTCAGTGAATTCGAGGCCAGCCTGGTCTACAAAGTGAGTTCCAGGACAGCCAGAGCTGTTACACAAAGAAACCCTGTCTCAAAAAAACAAACAAACAAAAAAATCAAAAATGAAACAAAAAAATCTCAGAAAAGAAAAACAACCCAGTGTTGCAGTTCAAACACAGTTGTCCACTTGTCGTGGAGGAGACTAATCCCCAGGGTTTTGTGCTGGTGGGATGTGTATAGAGGTGCTGGGCACAGTCGTGGCATGCAACTTTAATCATAGCACTCAGAGACAGAGACAGGTGGATTTCTGTGAGTTCAAGGCCAACTTGGTCTACAGAGGGAGTTCCAGGACAGCCAGAGAAACCCTGTTTGAGGCGGGGGTGGGGGGCAGAAGAAAAAAAAAGAGAAAAAGAAAGAAAAGGAAAGACAAGAAAGTACAGATGTAATCCCAGCCATTCTATTTAGAGTAAAGCTTTTGGGAAGTAGTTAGATTAGATCGAGGTAACCTCCAAGATTAGATCCTGGTAACTTTCTAAGGAGAGGGCTAGAAACCTCAAAGAAGCGTACAAGTGGTCCAGCCAAGATGATGACCTATCCAAGAGAAGCCTTGCAAGAGCTGTGTTGTGCTGCTTGGACCTCCAGCCTCCAAACCTGTGCATGAAACACTCCTCTCCCAAATTTGCTTTAAAAGATTTTTCTTTTTTAAGATTACATTTATGTGTGTGTGTGTGTGTGTGTGTGTATGTGAATGGGTTGCCTGTGTGTGTGTGTGTGTGTGTGTGTGTGCATGTACGTTACCATGAGAACCACAGCATGCTTGTGGAGGAGAGAAGACCACTTACTGAAGTTGGTTCTCTGTTTCCACTATGTGGGCCCTAGGAATTGTTGGACTCTAGAGTCCAGTCACCGAGGAGGAGTCGCCCCCAAGAGATCTTCTCTCCTACTGCAGTTGATGTAAAAGCATGAGGATTTTATTAATTCTGTCATGACAGAGTCTTTCAGCATTTGAGAGGTCAGAAAGACCTCGAATGGCTGGTACAGGCTATTTTTAAAGGAAAAAGCCACAGAAGTAAGGGGGTGTCTGGGGGTTGTTCTTTAACTATTATGATTGGTTTATTCAAAAGGGCTATTACCACTAATTGGCTGGAGAGTGGATGCCAGATCAGATGAGGTAAGAGGAAACATCTGAGGGTCACTTTGCCCCTTTCCCAGGGACTGAGTCAAAACACCAGGAACTGAGTCAACACCTAAGGGTTATTTTGCCCCTATTCAATAACTGAGTTCTATCTGGAGAACATTCACAAGGACTCAGGGAGATGATGGAAAGTTCCCAACATTTCAGTGTGTGCATGTGTAGTTGTTAGGTCCTTGGTTGGGGGGGGCACTACTGCTGAGAGACCTCAGACATGGCCTCAGAGTTGTCAGAAATGGCTTTAGAGTTATTTTAGAGTTCTACAGGAATCAAACTCAGGTTGTCAGACTTTGTGACAAGCACCTTTACCCACAGAGCCATCTCACTGAACCCTCTTTGCTTTTTTGTTTTTGTCTGTTTTTATTTTTGTTTTTGGTTTTGTTTTTTCAAGACAGGGTTTCTTTGTATAGCAATGGCTGTCCTGGAACTTGCTCTGTAGACCAGACTGGCCTCAAACTCACAGAGATCCACCAGCCTCTGCCTCCTGAATTGCTGGGATTAAATGTGTATGCCACCACTGCCTGACTTCTTCCTGCATTAAAAAAAATCTTTTAAAATTATGTGTACATGTGTAATTCTATGTTGGGATATATGCATCTTTAAGGACAGGCACCTTTGGAGTCCAGAAGAGGGCATCAGATCCCCTGGAACTGGAGTTTCAGCTTTAGTGTGGGTGCTGGGACTTGAACTCAGGTCCTCTGCAGCAGTAGTCTCTCTTTTAATTGCTGGATGTGATGTGATGGGACCAGCTGTCTCCAGCGCCTGCTGCTATGACATCCCTGAAGTCACTGATTATAACCTGGAACTATGTCCCCTCAGGTGCTTTTTTTTAATCTGAGTATTTTTATTTCAGCAACAGGAATGAAACCCAAACAGCCATGGAGGGAAATACCCAACATCCACTATGGCCTCACATCTATACACTTAGACATGAGCACACAATGCAACATACATATCGTATCATGCACATAAAGAATATACATTTTTCTTTTCTTTTCTTTTCTTTCTTTCTTTTCTTTCTTTTTTTTTTTTTTTTTTTTTTTGGTTTTACGAGACAGGGTTTCTCTGTAGTTTTGGAGCCTGTCCTGCCTGGAACTAGCTCTTGTAGACTTGTAGACCTGGCTGGTCTTGAACTCACAGAGATCCGCCTGCTTCTGCCTCCTGAGTCCTGGGATTAAAGGTATGTGCTACCACCATCTGGCTGAATATACATTTTTCAAAAGTAAACATATATCCAGGACAGGCACCAAAAACTACAGAGAAACCCTGTCTCAAAAAAAAAAAAAAAGTAAACATATACCACTAACCAAAATTGGCCATACACTAGGACTTGAGCAAATTTCAATGAATTTTAAATTCTATAGAGTATGTTGTTTGATCATAGTGAAATTAAGCTAGACATTAGTAATAAATTCATAGGAAATTCCTTCATGTTTTAAAAGTT